GATGAGGATTCTGGATTATACCATTCATTGCCAAGGTATGGATGGTGTCAATCTCTGAATAGGACTGAGAAATGGAGGGTCATAGTCATGTGTACTGGCAATAGTGAATGTGTAGTAGAACCTAGCTGAAATTAAAGGCCCATAAATAACCAATAGCAAGAGAAGTGTATATCTTAACCTGCTTTCTAGACAAGTTAGAAGAATTGCGCTATACAATTTCTATCCATCTCCTTGTCAGATAAATCCTGCTGCTCTTTCTGTCCTGGGAATAATGTACCTACTTCACTTCTTACCCAAAGAAGACATTCATTCCAAGCCTCAAATTCATTGAAATTTGTCTCTTTTCATGGCTTTGAAATTCTTTCTTTGTAAGAGATACTACTAGACACCACTGCCTTTGGTACAGAAAGTTGTGTTACATGTTAATTTCAGCATATGGGAGGTGATGACAGTTGCCAGGGATAGTTACTCTTAAGAATATTGTTTTTACTCAGTATAATACTGCTCATAGAATTATTTAACTTAGGCTCAGCGCCTGTGGCTCAAGTGGCTAAGGCGCCAGCCACATACACCTAAGGTAGCGGGTTCGAATCTGGCCCAGGCCCACCAAAAACAATGATGGCTGCAACCAAAAATAAAATAGCCAGGCGTTGTGGTGGGCGCCTGTGGTCCCAGCTACTTGGGAGGCGGAGGCAGAAGACTCGCTTGAACCCAGGAGTTGGAGGTTGCTGTGAGCTGTGATACCATAGCACTCTACCCAGGGGGACAGCTTGAGGCTCTGTCTCAAAAAAAAAAAAAAAAAGAATTATTTGACTTAGCCACAAGTGATGATGTAACCAGGCGTAACCCATTCAGTGTTACATCTTCATAGTAAAATGCATGTGATGAGAAAGAAGAGAAGTGGCAAGAATGAAATTTTAAGTTCGCTGAGAGAGCAGGAGGTAATTCCTAACCAGCAGTGGAAAGTAGAAGATCATTCTAAGTCTTGCAGTATACATGATAACTAACTACAGAGTTCACAAACTAGTCATCATTACTTGGTTGCAAAGGGACTTGCTTAACCCATGGATAGTGAACATAACACATATAACACCATAGATGGTGGCACTATTGACGTGGTAAGAAGTTTTATCTGGAAACTGGATGTTAGATTCAGATGACATGCATTTGCAAAAGAAAATTTTTGCAGTCAAGTAAAGAAACTATGTAGAAGTTTGAGGTCAACGTAATGGGAAGTGTGAGAGGTTTGGTAGGCTTCTTCTTAGAGGATTATTATTATATATTTAAAAGTAGTAATACATATTTATTATAGGAAAATGTTGCCCATAATCTTGCAATCTAGAGATACTGCTCTTGTGTTCTGGATTATTTCCTACTAAACATTTTTTGATGCATGTATTCTTAAGTAATTGAGGTCACACTGTATATAAAATTTGGATTTGCGCTCTTAATTTAACATTATAACATAAACTTTTCCTGGGGATATGAAAAATCCCCATAAGTTTTTATTTTTTTAAGAGACAAGGTCTCCCTTGTCTCTTGTGATGCCCAGGATGGAGTGCAGTGGCCAGTTACAAGTGTGACCCCACTACTGATTAACATGGGAGTTTTGACCTCCATTTCTGACGTGAGTTGGTTCATCCCTCATAGGGCAAACTGGTGGTCTCCTGCTCTCAAGAGGTCACCAAAGATACAGAGCTTAGTACAGACACCCAATTGGAATAGCACACTATAGCCTAGAACTCCTGGGCTCAAGTGAAGCCTCCCATTTCACCCTCTCAAAGTGCTGGGTTTACAGGTATGAGCTGCTACACCAGATTCCATTTCTTAAATGTTAGACATTTAAGTACTTTTCAAGTTTTTACTGTTAGAAAACATGATGCAGTGAAAAAAATTGCATATAGTGATTTTTCTGTAGTGGGGGATTATTTTATTCAAAAAATTTTAACACTGTTTCCTTGGAAACTCAGTTAACAAATATTAATTGAATACTTCCTGTGTGCCAGGATATAATATGAACAAAAAGGACGGTTTTGGGGCGGCATCTGTGGCTCAAAGGAGTAGGGCATCAGCCCCATATGCCGGAGTGGTGGGTTCAAACCCAGCCCTGGCCAAAAAAAAAAAAAAAGGACAGTCTCTGTCCTATTGAAGTATACATACTAATGGGGACATATAAGATAATAACTCTATAATAGTAATTTTAGATTGTTGATAACTACCATAAATAAATTAGGATAATGGGGCATGGCACAGCCACTCATGCCTGTAATCCCAACACTTTGGGAGACTGAAGTGGAAGGATTACTTGCAGCCTGGAGTTTAAGACCACCTGGGTAACATGGCTCTGTCACTATAAAAATTTAAAAAATTAGCCATTTGTTGTGGTGCATTTCTGCATAGCCAAGAGCTACTCAGGAGGCTGAGACTGGAGGTTTGCATGCGCTCAAGAGTTGGAGGCTGCAGTGAGCTATGATAGTGCCACTGTACTCCACCCTGAGTGACAGATTAAGACCCTGTCTGTGAATGAATGAATATAATGCATAGAATATATTGACATTCTTAGTGATTAGGGAAGTTTTCTCTGAATAAGTTAACTTTGACTTAAGCATGAATGATATTAATAAGGCAAAGATTTGGAAAAATCATTCTAGACAAAGACTGTGAGAGCATAATGGGTTTGGCCTTTTTAAGGGACAGAAAGGCCAATGTGACTGGAACATGATGAATAAGAGGAAAAATGGTAGAAGTTAAAAGAAGTAGATGAGGGCATATTTTATAGAGCATTGTAAATGCCATCCCAGGTAGCTTAGGTTTTACTCTAACTTGATGGCAGCTACTGGAGGATTTTAATCAAGTGAATGAAAGTATCAGAATTACATTGTTTTAACACAGCGGTTCTCAACCTGTGGGTCGCAACCCTTTCGCTTTTCACAGAGGTTGCTTAAGACCATTGGAAAACACATATTTCCGATGGTCTTAGGAACTGAGATGCCGCTCCTGGTGTGGGGGGGGTCACCACAACATAAAGAACTGTATTAAAGGGTTGCAGCATTAGGAAGGTTGAGAACCGCTGTTTTAACAGATCACTCTGGCTACACTGAAAAAGCTCTAAAGGGAAGCAATAGAGGAAGAAATGTGGGTAGTCAGAAGGCTACTGAAGTAGTTCTGATTTAAGAGGAATTCTAGCCCACATTAAGATTGTAGCAGAGATGAGGGTGGTGATAGAGTCAGTACTACTGGCCAGGCGTCCCAAACTACAGCCTGTGAGCCACATGCAGCCTGCCTAGGACATTTATCTGGCCTGCCATGTGTTTTTGCTGCTGCTGCCTGTCCTGATTAACAGCAGACTTGTCCTGGGGCCTGCAGTCCGGCCCTCCAACAGTCTGAGGGACAGTGAACTGGCCCGCTGTTTAAAAAGTTTGAGGACCCCTGCTACAGGCAAACGGAATGCATGCGATGAGTGTGGAAAAGAGAAATGGCAAGAATGAAGTTTAGATTCTTAGGCTGAGCAAGTGAATAGATAGATGGTAATCCATTTACTAAGGTGAGAAGGAGACTGAGACAGTGACAATGGAGGAAATAAAATTCTCTTTTGGATATATTAAATTTGAGATGCCTATCCATTGCTGTGACCTAGAAATATAAATTTCAGGGTTATCACTGTATATTTGCATTATTAGGTTAAGGAAGTTCTCTTCAACTTTAGTTTGATGTGTGTTTTTATCATGAAAGGGGTAGGATTTTGTCAGATGATTTTTCTGAGTCTAGTGAGATGAACATATATGTTTTTCATTCTGTGAATATGCTATAATGGTTGTTGTTGTTGTTGTTTTTTTTTTGAGATGGAGTCTCACTCTGTTGCCCTGGGTAAAGTACAATGGCATCAGCCTAGCTCACAACAGCCTCAAACTCTTGGCCTCAAGTGATCCTCTTGACTGTAGGCACCTGCTACAATGCCTGGCTAGTAGTTTTCTATTTTTAGTAGAGATAGGGTCTTGCTCTTGCTCAGGCTGGTCTTGATCTCTTGAGCTCAAGCAGTCTGCCCACCTCCGCCTCCCAGAGTGCTAGGTTTATAGATCTGAGTCACTATGGCTGGCTTATTTGTTGATTTTAATGTCAAACTAACCTTGTATTCCCACTCATGTTCTCTCCCACTGGTTACTCATTTAGTATTTCCTGACGTGGTGAATGGCTCCTCCAAACCATTCAAATGCCCAAACCAGGAACCTGAGAGTTGTCTTAGACCTTTTTCTTTCCTTTATTTTCTGCATCCAGTCTGTTGATTCTATTTATTGCTTCTTCCTAATTTTTCCCATTTAAATTTATCCTCTACCCTGATGCCAGGAGTTTTTTTTTTTTTTTTAATCTCAAAGGCAAATCTGATATTCTAAATCTACTTACAGAAAAATTTATCAAATGGAAATTTATATTTGTTCCTTGCCTTCTGCCGATGTACATTATGTAAACAATTGGTTAACTCTTTGAATTATTTTTAAAAACTTACATTACTTTCTATGAATTTAGGTGATGGGATTTGTAACTTAAGTGTTAATGTTCTAGGAGGAATGCTACTAACTGTTCTTTTTGCACATTAATACTTGATCTAACTTTATCCAATAAAAAGGAATAGTAAAAGGAAGAAAAAGCTTAAAAACAGGTAAATACCAAATGAGAAAATGGCCTGTGGTAGGGTTGCTGCTACCCTGTTGCTGTGGTTCAATTGATCCCTTATGAGAGTTCTTTTCTTGAGAAATTTACACACACTATATAAAATTACAGGTATCATGATAGCTATAATTACTTAATCAGGTATACTATTGAAGTAGCAACTCTTAGCATGGATTTTTATGTTATTTATTTTAAATCCAAATTGTATAAAGTTGATAAATAATTAAAGTCTAATGTTCATATTGGTATATATAAATGCTGTGTATACCAAATACTATAACAACTCTTTAAACAATTTTTAAGTCTTATTTGTTTATTTCTTTATTTTGCAGCCTTGCATTACATCCTGAAAGAGTATTGGTAGCAACAGGTCAAGTTGGGAAAGAGCCTTATATCTGTGTTTGGGATTCATACACTGTGCAGACCATGTCAGTTCTAAAGGATGTTCATACACATGGTATAGCTTGCTTAGCATTTGACTTGGATGGACAGGTATGTGGTAATTTTTTTCCTTTTTCTAAATTATGTTTTTTAAATGTGTACTATAAATATTAAATAGGAAAGCAACTGATGAAAAGTATTTGTTTATTCAGGGTGGAAGTGAGTAGGTGGAATGGGTAGTTAATGTATATAAGAAAAATAAGAACAGGAAATTTTTATTTCATTATCTCAAGAACTTTCTCAATTGAATTATTACCTTGAAAGCCAAAGAGATTCTGATTTAGTAGAATATTACTTGGTTATTATAGAAAAATTTATGTATAACTCTTTTCCAGGTTAGGTATTTTGATAGCACAGATGGAAGATGCCTTAGGAAAATTAAGTTTCTCTAAGTAGAGCTTTTTGTATTTTCATTTCATTTACTTTAAAGGATATCTGTTATTGTTATCTTTTTTATTGAATAGACTGAGATAATTCCTATAATATAAGCTATTTTTATACAAAATCAAAGTTCAAAAGAAGGGATATAATTGTCATTCTATTGACTAATCAGTTGCAAATTATCATCTACTTCTAGTCAATGATTTTTATAAAGTTAAATAAGCCAAGAACTTTTCTGGGGTGCTTTTGTGGAAGTTGTTATAATTAAAATATATTTTAAATTTTACCAGTAAGAAGTTGGATTTTGCAGGTGTGGTTAATTTATGGTCTTCAAAATTAGGCTTTAAAATCATTTTAATTTTTAGAAAAAATTAAGTTATCTGCTTTTCAGTTCATAAAATTAATTTTGTATATCTAGATTTTATAGAAACAGATTACAGTGTGTCCTAGTCCCTTGAAAATGATAACCAGTAAATTGTTTGTATGCACATATATTCTTTACTCTAAGGAATAGCTAATTTGTTTGAATAAGTGTAAGTTATTCTTTCTGACAAGAGATGACTTTCTAGTAAGGGATCTGTAAAGCCTCAGTTGGAACCTCTTAATTGGGGTAGAATGTTCTTTAGGTTTAATATGATCATATCATGGTGATTGTCAATTGCAGAAACTTGATTCGTCTCTTGCTGTTATCTTCAATATACTCATAATTTCATTTTCTTTTTTAAGGAAAAAGAATAATGTTTTTACCTACTTTATAGGACTATAAAATATAAAACCTGCAAAGTTTTTTTGAAGACATAATTTATCATTTAAGAAGATTTATGAAACTCAAAATATTTTAGGCGGTGCCTGTGGCTCAGTGAGTAGGGCACCAGCCCCATATACCAAGGGTGGCAGGTTCGAACCTGGCCCAGACCAAATTACAACAAAAAAATAACCGGGCATTGTGGCGGGCGCCTGTAGTCCCAGCTACTTGGGAGGCTGAGGCAAGAGAATTGCTTGAGCCCAAGAGTTTGAGGTTGCTGTGAGCTGTGATGTAACAGTACTCTACTGAGGGCAACAAAGTGAGACACTGCCTCTTAAAAAAAAATTTTTAGTTGTATGTATCTATACTTCTTACCTTTCAGATTTCTCTTCCTAAGTGTACTATACTGCATTGCTGTGGAATTTCTTTTAGACGTATATATCCATGGAGAAATCACACCCATGGCTTTTACTAGTTGAAAGCTTTTAATTTTGCTTATTTTGAACAACTTATAAGAAAAGTCTTACGTACATGTATCTTATCATTATAGATCTTCAGGAGAACATGTTGCTTAAAATTTTAAGATTATAAAAACATAGTAGCTAAAAGATGTTGTGCACATAGTAAATGCCAGGCATTATGCTAAGCCTGCATTATCTCTTTTAATCCTCACATCAAACTTATGAAATAGATACTACTATTATCTCTATTTTACAGATAAAGAAACTGAGACTTAGAGAGGTTAAATAACTTGCCCCAGGTTACACAGCTAGTAAATGGAGCCAGAACGGGAACCCAGGTCAGTTATACTCCAAAGCTCATGTTTTTAACAGCAATGCTTTACTGCCTCCCAAACATGTAACTTAGGAGGTAGTTATTTATACTTCAAAAGGAATTCATCTATTTTAAGTATAGCTAAAGTTAAAATGTAAGGAACCGCTACCAATTGAAGATTAAGAATATCTCAAATTATGGTAATGAAAAATGCTTTAACTGAAAAAATATATTTGAGAGAACATATCTATTTGCTTATATCTATCAACTGTTTAGGGGATACCAAGTAGGAAATAGTGTATAAGTTTTGCATTTTCTACTATATTTGAAACTATAAGTGATCATTTAAGATTTATCCAATGAATGAGTTTCTCAGTTGGTGGTAATGCTGAATGTTCTTTTTCCAGTGGCTTTCGTCTAATGAATTGAATGGAATACACTAATACTGGCATTCTGCCTTATTGAAAATAATTAGGGCCAGAAAAGGCTATTTATATAAATTCATGACAAACAGAGACTAAAATTTTATCGTAAATGGGAGAGAGGATAAATTTAACTGGTACTTTATCTTGAAAATATAACCATAATTTATAAAAACATTTCTCAAAATTAATAAAGTCTAAGTTACAGTTAGAACTCTGCTGCTTATAGAATTAACTAGGAATACATTTTTTTAACTTAATTTTGTCAGTTACATGTTAGTACAAAATAAAATGCTTCAATTTACCTTTGACTTTTGGCATGTGATTATAAAGACAGCCATTTTTGCAAAAATTAGAGGGTAGGTTTACTGGTTTTTCCAAGGAGCTTTTTAGTAATCTCTCAATATCTAGACATACCTCAAGGACCTGTTTTATTCTTCTTGAATTTTGTTCTCTTATTGCTCTGCTAGATCCTAACTTCTAAAGGCTTTATGCATAGTTTGACCAGTATTTTACTCCATTAAGCCCTCTATCTTCTGTAAACTTTGTGATTTTACTTTGTAACATTGTAATGGTTAATTCTTATATAATAACACTGAGATCATAAGGACTGCCATACTAGAATCTTTTAACTTTAATTTTCCTTTATTTAAATATTGTTTCATAATTTCAGGAACTCATAGGATGTGTCTAGTGTGTATTAGGACATTTTTCTTATTTATTTGGTGCGCTAGAATTTTTGTATAGATATTCAATTAATGGATACAAATAAGGGAATAGGATCTGGGAAGGAATCCTCCTATAGAATCTGGGAGGAATTTGGGAAGCTGGATAGAGGATTTTTGTCTGGTTTTCCTTCTTCCTCTTTGATTCTTACTTTGTTGTTATCTTTATTTTATTTTAATTAAATTTTGTTTAATGGGATCTGGGAGTTCTCTTTGTGTTTCCCTGGCCAGACTGAAACTCCTAGGCTCAAGTGATCCTCTTGCTTTAGACTCCAGAGTAGCTAGTAATATAGGCCTGTACCACCATGCCTGGCTTTTTACTTATCTTTAAAGGAAACTCTCCTTCTGTCTGTCTACTTCTTAAATGTGGGTGTTCTTAGGGAGTCTCTGGCTTTGTTTTCTTTTCTTTTCTTTTTACTTACTTTCTGTAGGTGATTATTACGGCCCATGACTTTAACATCCATATCAATTAATAATGACTCTGAGTTCTCTCTTCAGCTCCAAATAATCCCCTTAAATGTCCTATAGATACTCTATATACATTTAAAACTGAATTCTCTCTTTATCTTAACTCTATCAAAAACCAAAACCCAATGTTCCTTCTGACTTCTAACTTACCTCTCCAGCCTTGCCTCTTGCCAGTTCCAGGTTGGTACTTTGCCCTTCAGCCACAATGAATTACTGGCATTTTCTCAAAAGCACCATGATCTCTGTTATCTAGAGGTCTCCTTGGTCTGAAATGTACTTTCTACTAATTTTCTACCAGACTGTCTCTTATTTTGTCTCCTAAGATATAAGTTACATATCACTTTTGCTGGAAAATTTTTTCTTCATCCTCACCTATCTAAGCTGGCTTATATGTGAGAAAAAAATGATAAAGTAAAAAATGATAGAATGCTCGGTGCCCATAGCACAGTGGTTATGGCGCCTGCCACATACACCTAGGCTGGAGGGTTCGAACCCAGCCCGGGCCAGCTAAACAACAATGACAGCTGCAACAAAAATAGCTGGACATTGTGGCAGGAGCCTGTAGTCCCAGCTACTTGGGAGGGTGAAGCAAGAGAATCACTTAAGCCCAAGATTTTGAGGTTGCTGTGAGCTGTGACACCATAGCACTCTACTGAGGGCAACATAGTGAGATTCTGTCTCAAAACCAAAACAAAACAAAAAATGATAGGAATCTAGAAGAGATAGCATAAGCTTTGTTGTTTCTACTTCTTCCTGTCTGTTGTTGTGTAACCTATGCTTGGGGAGGTCAATTTGAGCCAAGATATGTTTATCAAGACTACAGAGGAAGGGCTCCCAGGTCTACTTTGTTTCTGTCTTTACAGAGCTATACTTTGAGATTCTATTTAGGTGTGTGGAGTTTTAAAGCTTTTGGTTAATTGTGGTTGCTGTGTGTATATGATGACCTGAGCCACAGGAAAGAGGAATTAACAGAAATGACAGTGCCCTTCTAGCTGTTCCTCACTTCATACCTGTCTTGTGAAATTCTAATCTCTATGCAGTATGCAAGAGGTAGATATTTTTGTTCTCGTTGCTGATACGAATATGTGAACCATGATTTACTTCAGTAAGTCAATCATTTTCTCCTGTTCTCTAGGTTTTCTGGTGAAATTACGGGATTTCAGGGAGAATCTTAGGAAACTTTATTCTGTATCTTTTTTTTTTTTTTTTTTGAGACAGCCTCAAGCTGTCCCCCTGGTAGAGTGCCGTGGCATTACAGCTCACAGCAACCTCCAACTCCTGGGCTCAGGCGAGTCTCCTGCCTCCGCCTCCCAAGTAGCTGGGAACACAGGTGCCCGCCACAACGCCCGGCTGTTTTTTGGTTGCAGCCGTCGTTGTTGTTTTGGCGGGTTCGGGCTGGGGATTCGAACCCGCCACCTTAGGTGTACGTGGCTGGCGCCTTAGCCGGTTGAGCTATAGGCGCCGAGCTGATTCTGTATCTTTTTATGTAAATTATTCATTCTGCCCATTTTTGGAGTTTCTATAGTAATTCTACTT